AAGTCCCCTGCTAAGATTGTATTGCTGTCTATTTCTCCTTTGAAGTCCTCCAGAAGATTTTTAATATATTTTGGTGCTCCTATATTGGGTGCATATATGTTTATCAAGGTTATATCTTCATGTTTGATAGATCCTTTCTATATTACGTAATGGTCTTAGTTATGGTCTTCATTTTGAAATCTACTTCATCAGATATGAGTATTGCTACCTCAGCTTTGTTTTGCTTTCCATTTGCTTAGAACATTTTTTTCCATCCCTTCACTTTCAATCTATGTGAGTCTTTTGTTGTGAGGTGGGTCTCTTGTAAACAACATATAGATGAGTCATGCTTTCATATCTAATCAGCTACTTTGTGTCTTTTTATCGGAGCATTCAGTCCATTTACATTTAAGGTGATTATTGATATGTACTTATTTATTGCCATTTTTGTTTAGTTTGATTACATTTTTTTCCTATTTCTTCTACTAATTAAAGCAGTCCTTTTAACATTTCTTGTAGTGCTTGTTTGGTGCTAACGTTTTCCCTTAGCCTTTTTTGTCTTGGAAACTCTTTATTTGTCCTTCTATTTTGAATGACAGCTTTGCTGGATAGAGTAATCTTGGATTCAGATCTTTGTTTTTCATGACCTTGATTACTTCATGCCATTTCCTTCTGGCCTGTAGTGTTTCTTGTGAGAAGTCAGCTGAGAGCCTTATGGGGTTTCCTTTGTAGGTAACCTGTTATTTCTGTCTTGCTGCTTTTAGGATTCTCTCTTTGTCTTTAATTTTTGGCATTTTGATTACTATGTGTCTTGGTGTGGGCCTGTTTGGGTTCTTCTTACTTGGGGCTCTCTGTGCTTCTTGAACTTGAATGCCTTCTTCCTTCACCAAATTAGGGAAGTTTTCTGTCACTATTTCTTTGAATATATTCTCTAACCCTTGTCCATTTTCTTCTTCTTTGGGGACTCCTACGATGCAAATATTATTATGTTTCCAGTTGTCCCACAATTCTCTTAAGCTGTCTTCCTGTTTTTTAATAGTTTTTTCTTTTGGTTTTCTGATTGGTTGATTTTTTTCTACCCTGTCTTCTAATTCGCTGATCCGGTCCTCAGCTTCCTCTACTCTGCTCTTTAGACCTTCCAATGTGTTCTTTATTTCTGATATGTCACTCTTAATCTCTTCTTGGTGGTTTTTAATTTCCAATTGGTTTATTTTCAGCATCTCTATGTCCTTACTCATGCTGTTGAGCTTCCTCAAGATCATGGCTCTGAATTCTAGTTCTGTTAACATGCCTAATTGCTCCACATTGATCTCATCTTCGGTGGAGGTGTCTTGTTCTTTCATTTGGCTTCTGTTTCTGTGTTTCACCATTTTGGCTATCACTGTGGTCTTTGGAGCCTGCCAAGTTTTCCCTGTGGGTTTTGGTGTTCTGCTGTTTGTGGCTCCCTCTCCTGGGTTTAGATGAGCAAGGAGGGACCCACGTTAAACACCACTGTCAAGTCTTACTTTCCTGGTTAGTGTTGTTAGTCCAGTGATGGTACTGTTATCCTCTAGCTTTTTGCCTGGAGGCTAGCAGTAGTGGTTACTGGAAGAATTTTGTGTTGTCAGTTGATTGAAAAACTCCCTCAGGTGCTCAGCATAAGGGGATTTCCCGAGGGTGGGGCAGATGCTGGTTGTTAATGGGCCTCAATTTGCATTTCAAGGGCCCACAGTGTGGGGTTGAATATCTAAGGGAGGAGCTGCTGCCTCTCCCCAGAGCCCTGGGAAGGAGCAATATGGCCATCGTCCTGCGTGGCTGCAACTCACCAAAAGCTCTGAGTGCCCTCCAAATCCCGAGTTTCCCCACATAGTTCCAGTCCAGTCTGCCTTCCTTCTGCCGGAGCCCAAGGTGAGTGGCTGTGGCTATTTTAGCCTCTGTCCCGGCTCTGGGCTGTGCAGCCACTTAGGAGTTTAATCCGAGGGCGCTGCTCCCAGCTAAGGCCGCTGCCGAGCTACCGACCTTAGGCTCCCAGGCCCCGTCTCACGCCTTCGCAAGCCTACCAGGATGGAGTCAGTGTCCCTGGTTATATGGTCCTCGCAAGCTGCTTTTCTATTGCTTTTTCCCATAGATTTGTCTGTGTTTTAGTTGTAATTCCAGTTTGGTCCTGGGAGACGGTCTGTGTAGCTTCCATTCACTCCGCAGCTATTTTGGAATCCAAAATAAAGCTGTGCAAGTTTTTGTGTAGACATTTTTTTAGAAATTGTACTAGGTAAATATCAACCTAGGAATAGAATTCTAAGTTGGATTGGGGTATGTTTAAATTTATAAGAAACTATAAAGAATGTTTTCCACATGTACGTTTCCATGAAGAAGTGTATTTACAGAACGTTTGAAGTTTTCTCATTATGTTATTTCTGCTTCTTCTAAATTCCTCTTGGCTGTGTTTTATTTTTTTCTGCAGTCTTTCATGTTAGCAGCTTTCTTCAAATATCTGGTGATCCTTGGTTGCCCGTACTCATTTAAGAGTATGATACCAAATAAAATATGTGGGACCCCAGTGCATATGAGATGGGCTTGTTAAATTGCCCCTTCATGGACTGGGGAAATTCACTGAAAAACTCATTGTCAATATTTGTAGGGGTCTTTCATTCCTCTTGGCCAGTTAATTGATCTGGAGATGAATCCTCCAATACACTGTCCAGGCTGTGTTTTATGAGTATGGATAAGAGAAGGTAATTCAGTTGTATGAAGTGGGGGAGAAGATATGAGATGAGGGGAGTCTATCTGTATCTTACATAGATTTTTAGGTATATTTTCAGGTTACTTATATGTCTACATGGAGAGTATCAGGTATCACCAATTCATGGAGTTTGGGGTTGTTCTTTTTTGTTTGTTTGTTTGTTTGTTTGTTTCTGTAAGAGGGCCAGGGGTGGAGGAGTTCTTAAGTGACAATCAGCTTGTTTCTTTTGTTTCCTCAAAGCTGACTTTGCTTCAGTTTCTAAGGATCTGCAAAGTTACTAGTAGCTTTTGTGTCTGTGATTTACCTCCCAAAATTTCTTTGGCTTCCTTTCTCTCTCTCTTTTTTGAATCCCATCAAATACTCATTCACACCACTCTGCTGTTATCCCTCTTTTAAACACAGAGATGTGGAAAGATGAGTCGAATGATTTGCTACAAGCTCCACAGACACAGAGTGGAAGGCCTCACTGCAAATGTGTGCCATGTGGTACTGAAAGATCACTTAGCATTTTATTAAATAAATCCAGTTGGGGTTTGCACACAGCTGTTGTGAGAAAAGAAATTTTATTTTATTTTTTAATTAATTCATTCATTTTTTGTTGCAGATGTTTCTCCTTTTCCTCTCCTGGACACACTTCTCCTGATCCCCACCCCCCTCCAGCATTGCTGTCTATGTTCATTGGTTACACATACATGCATATAAGTTCTTTGGTTTATCTCAACACTTCCCCCCAAACTCCCTCCTTTGAGGTTTGTCAGTCTGAACCATACCCCTTTCTATGTCTCTGGGTCTATTTTGTTCATCAGCTCATTTTGTTCATTATGTTCCACAAATAAGTGAGATCATGTGGTATTTGTCTTTCTGACTGGCTTGTTTCACTTAGCTTAATACTCTCCAGGTCCCTCCATGTTGTCTAAAAGGATAAGAGGTCCTTCTTTCTTACAGTTGCATAGTATTCCATTGTGTATATGTACCATTATCAGAGAAGAAAGACTAGCCAAACTTTATACATATATTAATAAAAAATAAGACAAATTAAGAGAGAACCAATGAATTTAAAAGCTTAAATTAAAAATAGAAAGTTTCTGAAGACAAAATGTATTCTGAAGGCTGGTTTTATGGAAAGGAACCCAATAGCCAAATTAAGGAAAAATTATGAGATATTAAGAATAAGTTTTAAGCCCTGGCCAGTTTGGCTCAGCAGTTAGAGCGTCGGCCTGCGGTCCTGAGAGACCTGGGTTCGGTTCCCGCTAAGGGCACGTACTTCGGTTGCAGTTTGTCCCCGGCCCTGGTTGGTCGTGCGGGTGGCAGCCACTCGATGTGTCCCTTCACGTCGATGTTTCTCTCTCTCTCTCCCTTCCTCTCTCTCCCTCCCACTCTATCTGTACAAAAAATGGAAAAATGTCCTCGGGTGAGGATAAAAAAAAAGAATAAGTTTTAACATACAGCCATAAACTGGTAGAGAATAAATATTTATGAGTGTAGTCTATACAACTTTATGGCAATAAATTTGAAAATCTATAGGAAATAGATGATTTCCTAGTAACATTAAAGAGAACACTTGAAAAATTCAATCATCAGAGAATGGGTTGGAATTGGGTTAAATAATATATTTCAATACTAGTGTGAAAAAGAAAGGAAGAATCTCTGGCAGGTGGTCAACACTGATTGCATAGAGATGGGAAGGTAGACAACAAAAGCAAGATTAGGAAGGTAAGAAGGGAGAGAGGTGGGAAGACTGCTAAAATATAAACCAGACAGTATCCATAAAAATATCCAGAATAGCTCTGGCCGGTATTGCCCAGTGGTTAGAGCATCAGCCCATGGACCAGTGAGTCACAGGTTTGATTCCTATCAAGGGCACATACCTCAGTTTCAGTTCCTTCTGGCCCTGGTTGGGGTTGTGCAGGAGGCAACCAGTCGCAGCCAGTCAATGTGTCCCTCTTGCATTGATGTTTCTCTCTCCCCCCACCTCTCTCTTTCTCTCTCCCTCTCTCCCACTCTATCTGAAGATAAATGGGAAAATATCCTTGGGTGAGGATTTTAAAAAAATACCCAGAATATGTTATATAATTATATTTACATAAAATTGTGTTTTTAGTGTTAGGTGTGAATTGGAGAGACTGAACATAAACAAGGTCTGCTTGACTTTGCAAACAATTTTTTTTCATTACCAAAAACAAGGGGGAGGGGTGTTCAATTCTCCTATACACTGAGGAGCAGGGGATGGAGAAGTTAGGGAAAGAAAACAACATAGTATGTTTTCGTCATTGTCATTTTCCCAAATCATGCTTCCTCATAGGACCTTCTGTCCCAATGAAAGTGTGGGGCCCTGTTGCTTTCATTTTGCTGATGCTGAACTTGGCAGTGCTGACTGGACTGGGAACCTTGATCTTAATGAGTAAGTTTCCACTTTTCTCTGAGGCTGTCCCTTGGTTTTACCAGTCACATTGCAGTACTCTGATAACATCATATTACTTAACATTTTGAGTACTGTTTTCTCAAGCTCTTCACAAGCAGTCTCATTTTTACCTCAACCATATCCTGTAGTCACATTTTTCCTCAATTTCCAGGGTCAGAGTGCTCAAAGCACTTTTTAAATTCTGTGCAGTTACCAAGTGGCCAGTGGAGACTATTTGATCACCTAGCTATCATTTTATTTTACACTTTATGCTTTTAATATCTTTTTGCCTTTTTTTCTTGTTTCTATTCCTTGCTGTTATCAATCATACTTTCTTCTCTTCCTTGAATACTTTTCCAACCCCTGGAATAATTTGTTTCTTTAAATATCCATTAATTATTTATCTGAGAATTAAAGACTTCTAAAACACTTTCTTCCCAAACCTGGATGCTAGTAGGAAATACTCTCTTCCCTTCCTTCCTTCTTCCAACAGTGAGTAAAAAGGCATCCTGAGGAAACAAAAGATAACTATTATAATAATTGCTAACGTTTCTTAAATGCCCATTCTTGCTGATTTAGATCTCATTTAATCCTCATAAAACTTAAATTAAAAACTAGAGATTTTATTAATTTGTAGGGCTGCCAGGTAAACTAACATCCGTCTGTCAAGAAAAGCCAGATTATGTTGTAATAATACACAAAATGGATAAATTATGAAGCTTTTTGGATCTTCTGAAGTTCTTAGAGGCATGATCCCTGCCTTTCTAATATTTTTCTTTAATTCTGAGGCAGCTGTTTATAAATTCTCCATCCTTAAATTATGGTTATATCTATTCAAGAGACTCAAATTCATAATGCATACTCTCAGCAATATATTATGATGCTTCCTGGTCTCAAAAGTGCAATTTGTAGTTTTATAAACCAATACTGAATTACACTGTCTTTATTTGGAAATCTCTGCTTCAAATGGATCTTGTTTGTTTTGCATTTAAACTTATTTGAACATTTTCTTGAACAAGGAACTTGTGCTCCATTGAGTAACTTAAATCATTTTTATCTCAATTAATTTTAATATTAAATGTATGTAAGGTTGATGTTCAACATGTATGTAGCTATCATTTAATATGTTCCCATTAAATTGCTAAATAATTGTTATGATATTCATATAATTTATTGGAAGACATTGTGATAAAGTCTAATTAACCTCATGCCATGAATTATAGATTACCACGAACTCTTCTTCAGAAACAGAACAGCATTTGACAAGCAAGAAAGCATGATAGAACAGCTGGAGAGAAATGTAGCATTATACATCGATATGTATAAAAATGTCTCAAGTGAGCACATTGTTTTAAAAAATATGCTAGTAAACACATCAAAAGAGTTGAACAGATTTACCTCAAAATACTCTGAAGATTTAAGGCAGAAGAAAAAGGGTGAGTGAAATCATCTGTTTCATCAATAACTTAGTGTTCTCTCATTTTCCCACCTTTTCAATGGGTTAAAAATCTTGAAATATTTCTGAAATTAAAAAAAAACTCATGAAAATATGTTAACCCTGTATAAATTCTTTTAAAATATGACTCTTGTCTTTCCCCAAAAAACAGGTTGTTTTTTATTTTTCTTTTCTTTTATTATTGGAATCTCTCTCCTGTGCTGATGCTCTAGTGTACCTTATAATGTTTCTTCTCTGTTTATATTTAAGTAAGAAAGGGATGGTTGGTTTGGGTCAACTCTACTGCTATTAAAAGAGGATATGTTTTTTGTTAGATCTCTATGGAGGTTAGAAATCTATCTGGATATTTTAAGGGTGGAAGACAAGGGTGGAATGTATAAACAGACACTTCTTTTCAAACAAAGCTGGGTATAAAATGTGGCACTAACAATCATAGCAGAAACCTCAGCTTTGTTGGATAGTGTATTCAGTTTTTTCAGAGAGGAACCATGTTCTTTCCTCTCACTGATTTATTTTCTTTCCATTCTTCAGTATTTCCTCTCTTACCTTCTTTCATTAAAAAAAAAATTCCTAGTACTTGGGAGAAGACCCTGAGGATACAAAGTTTTCTGCATAATAGTTTAACTGTTCTTCATCTTGAGTAACTAATGCTATGATAGGAAAAGCAAACAAACAGATAATTACAATTCAGTGTAATAAGTGCACATAAACATAATAATATAATGCAATAATCAATATAGTGGAGGAAAGAGTTCAGACTAGATGGGGGTACAGTAATTTATGCTAGGAGTGAAGGCATACTGTAATAAAAGTGATGAATGATAGTATGACACTCTTGGGAAAATTTCAAGGTATTCAAAATCAGACTAATAAGAAATAAAATTGGAGTGTCATTAGGGTTGTCCTATAGTAATGGGGATGGTTTGAATTTTAACCCAAAAGCAATGAAAAAACATTGGATAATTTAAAGCAAGTTCTTACAGAAACATCCCTGGAAGCAGTGAAGTAATGAGGTTTCTCTAGAAAATTTAGCAGGATGGACTAGAGTCCTGTTGCAGCAATCCAAGCATACTGAGGTTTTCTCTGAGTACATTTAATAATCCCTTCATCATTTTTCTTCCTCTGTATCTGTGATTCTTCTACTAATTCAGATTGTTTCAGATTCAAATCCCATTTCATTTCACATCACATTCTCTTCCTTTTCTCATATTTTAAGCAGTCATCTCATTCAATATATAACCTTTGTTAATCATTTCAATATATAGTGCAGATGTTTAGAAATTATGATATATGTGCTTATTGATTGTATATCTGTGCAGACATGTTAGGCACATGTGTGTACCAGTATCAAAGACTTTCCTTATTTGTTTTTCAGACCTTGAACTTTACTTATGTGCATGTTTAAAATCATGCACATGGCTTGGAGATAGCAGAATGAATTTCTCCTGTGTGATATGTGACAATAAGAAGAAAGGAAATAAAACTCAGGTCTGTATTATGATTGGTGGTATGGCCACAGAAATTTCTTAGTATTATTAAGGTACAGGTAAGAAGAATTTGAGTGACAACATTAATCTTTGGCTGTTCCTAAATAAATGGCCTTTATGCCTTTTATGTGTCCCCCTCTCTCTGAGTGGAGTCATTGCAGAATTCCTATACACAGGTTATAATAGCAAGGATATACAATTATCAGATTTATCCATCCATGACACATATCACAACAGGTAAGTTATGGATATATATTTCCTTGGTATTTCTTCTTCCTCATAATTACTGGTTCTTGGAGAACCATAAAAAGGAGAGTAATGACATATTTTCTGTTGTGAGGCATATTTTAATGTACTGTTAGTGCAAATTAAATCATGGAATTCTCTTCCCCCTTAGAGTTGTTGTAGACTGATAAAAAAATTATAGTCTTGACTATAATTCACTTGGTACAATCATTTAAATCATCTATCTAATTTTCACCTGTAACAACCCTACTTAATGTTATTAAAGTTAAAATACAGAGAAATCAGATAAAGTTACTGCACTGCTTGTGATTATTATGCTGTTATTGTTTTTATTAATATTTGAGTGTAGAAAAAAATGTCAAATTCCTAACTGGAATTCTAGAACCCTTACTATCCAGCACAATCAGTTTGTTTAATTTGCTGTAATATACAGCATGCTCCTGCCAAACAGATATTGTTATCAACATTAACTTGAATGAGGTTCATGTCTATGTAATTTTTGCCCTTTATGATTTCATTACTAGAATTATTATTTTGTCTCTTGAACTTGATTAATACAATTCAGTTGTCAAGTATCAACTTTGTTGCTTCTTTAGAAATTTTGGTTCCATCACAGTAAGCTCCATTAGTGGCTTTGTTTTTCAAATTCCCACATCATTACATTTTTAGTCAACAGCTATAAATGTGTCTTTTGACTAGACCTTTAGCTCCTTAAAATAGAAAATGTGTCTTATTCACTATTGTATATCCATTTGTGATACTGAGAAGACTTTAAGCCTGACTGAAATACAAGGTTTCTTTCATAGTTTGATTTTTTTTTTAATGTGCTCTTTTTCTATAAGAAAATATAGTACTTAGACTGTCAAAGTGGAGGCATTTTATTGTTTTAACATATTTTAATAATTTACTTTATTAAGGAGAGACATCTCCATAAGAGAAAAAAATAAGAAATTAAGAACAATTAAGAGAAAACTGGCTTAGGCTAAACCTAATTAGATATGAAGTGTGAAAGAAAGGGCGCAGACTACGATCATTTTAAGTTTTCTTTCTTGAATTTATACACAAGAAAAAAAATGATCAGGTATTTGTGTGTTTTATGTTTGGAACTGATATCGAGTGTAAACTTTAATATGCAAACTTATGGTGCTTGTGAGAATCACAGGAACATAAAATATAATTGAGCTTGGAGTTGAATGTGAGATGACTGTAATAGAGAACTTTAAAAAATATTATCCACCCAGTTCAGCTTGGTCCCTTTCATAGACATCTAAACCTGGCAGAGGGAGCACAATCTGCAGAACAGTGATATCCATAGGGATTTGGGCAGGCTCCAAACCCTACTGAGACAGTGAAACAAAGAAACAAGTCACACAAGAAAGAACAAGAACTCAGCCAGTGTGGCTCAGTGGATTAAGCATCAGCTCATGGACTGAGGTCCCAGTCCGATTCCCAGTCAGGGCACAGGCTCAGATTTCGGGCTCAATCCCCAGTAGAGGGCATGCAGGAGGCAGCCAATAGATGTTTCTCCTTCACGTCGATGTTTCTGTCTCTCTCTCTCTGCATTCCTCGCTCTCTAAAAAACTAATAAGAATATATTTTTTTTAAAAAAGAAAGAACAAGAGAATTCACCAGAAGAAGGGCTAAATAAAATGGAGATAAGCAAATTATCAGATATAGAGTTCAGAGTAATGCTTATAAGGATGCTCAAGAACATGAGAAAAGATAGAGAACAATGGAAAGCAGCCAACTGGAAATGAAAAATAACCAAGTGGAAATGAAGAATCACATAGCCAAAATAAAAAATACACTGGAAGGAGTAAACAGAAGATTACAGGAAGCTGAGGATCGGATCAGTGAATTAGAAGACAAGGTAGAGACTTCCAGTATGTAAAAGTAGTACTCACCTCCTCCCATAACCACATCAAAATTACAATTAAACTACAGAACAACCATCATTTAGAACTGCCTGAAGTCAAGCTAAATGGAAGTTCTACAACTATTAAATTAAAGAAGAAGCCATATCGAGACTGGTAGGAGGGGCAGAGGGGCAGACAGGCTGGTCCCACACTCACGAGTGACGGATGAAACTCAGGAGAGATACCTTGGCTGGGAAAGTCCTCCCTGTGGAGTAAGGGGTCCCCATCCCACATCACACCCCTAACTCAGGGTTCCAGTATCACAAAGAGAAGTCCCCATAACTTATTGCTGCAAAAACCAGCAGGAATCGAGGCTGAGGCTCCTGGAGTCCCAGGCAGTTCCTCTTAAAGTGTCCATGCACAGAATTACTCAGACCCGCTTCCTCTAAGCTCCAGTGTTAGGGAGGCAGCTTGAAAGGCACAATAGACATACATGGAAGAACTGAATTGTTTGGCATTGGGGCGAGAGCTGGAGAGGCAGCTTTCTCCTGGACAGATGTGCTGGTGGAGGCTGTTGTTCTTTTGGTGAGCCCTTTCCCACAGGGAAGTCAGATGTGTGCCATATCTGGGACTCCAGGAACCTGGTTCACACTGTTTGCCCTGCCCTGGTGATACCCTGAGGCCCTGCCCCATTCAACTTTCAGGACTACCCAAGCTGTTTCCAGTGGCTTTACCATAGGATTGGCCTGTCTTATCTCTTGCTTCAGATTTTCTTAAATTCTCTCAAACAAATAACACCTGACCTCAGTGAGCCCCATACCCACAGGTAACTGGTCCCAGGCCTGGCACTAAAAGCACCCAACCTTGATTCATAGCTTGGCTTTGAATGGGCACCTCCAAGCCCAGCACAAGCAGCAGCCATATATAGGTTGTTTTGTCACTTATGCTTGGTGGCCCCAGGTAGAACACAGGCAGTAGCTGACGTTGTCCCAGAGCCAGCATACCCAGTGGACAGCTTCAGACCACATCAATGTACCACCACCCACCTACCTCCACAAATTACACACTCAAGGAGTGGATTCAGTGGGTGCCAGAGCCCTGCTTAAGTAACTATTGCTCTGTGTGGTGGGCTGTGCACAGCCGATCCTCCAAGGTAGTCAGAGGTCAGTGGTCAGTGGGCACAGCCGGTCCTTGCAGCTGATCAGTCTGAGTAAATTTCTCCCATTGAAATGCCAATAGCAATCAAGACTCAATTACAAGAGAAGGGTGGACAGTCCACACGAGGAGTACACCTCAAGGGTACAGCTAAGGTAACCAGCAAGGCCATTTCTATAGGATACCTACAACAATAGGCCACCCTAGGAATCCTAGGAGACGTAGCAACTCTACCTAATACATAGAAACAATCACAGGGAAGCAGCCAAAATGAGGAGACAGAGAAACATGTCCCAAGTGAAAGAACAGAAAAAAAACTCTAGGGTAAGAATTAAATGAAATGGAGATGAACAATCTAACAGATGCAGAGTTCAAAACACTGGTTACAAGGAGACTCAATGAACTTAGCAAGAAATTCAAGGAACTTAGTGAGTACCACAAGAGCATGAAAAAAGACCAGTCAGAAATGAAGGGTGCATTAACTATAATAAAGAATAATTTACAGGGAGTCAATAGTAAAGTAGGATAAGCTAAGAAGCAAACCATTGATTTGGAATATAAGGAAGCAAGAAAACACTCAATCAGAACAAAGAATCCAAAACAGTGAGGATAGTGTAAGGAACCTCTGGGACAACTTCAGGTGTACCAACATTCGCATCATGGGGGTGCCAGAAGGAGAAGAGAGAAAACAAGAAATCGAAAACCTATTTGAAAAAATAATGACAGAAGACTTTCTTAACTTGGTGAAGGAAACAGACGTACAAGTCCAAGAAACACAGAGAGTTCCAAACAAGATGAACCCAAAGAGGTCCACACCAAGACACATCATCATCAAAATGCAAAAGTTTAAATACAAAGAGAAAATCTTAAAAACAACAAGAGAAAAGGGAGCTTTCATAAGACTGTCAGCCGATTTCTCAAAAGAAACTTTGCAAGCCAGGAGGGAGTGGCAAAAGATATTCAAAGTGATGAAAAACAACAACCTACAAGCAAGATTACTCTATCCTGCAAAGCTATTATTTAGAATTGACGGACATATAAATAGTTTCTCAGACAAGAAAAAGGTAAAGGAGTTCATCACCATACACCTGTATTATATGAAATGGTGATAGGGCTTCTTGAAGAACAAGAACAAAAATGTGAACAATAAAATGGCAATAAATATATATCTATTATCAACTGAATCTACAAACAAAATGAGCAAGCAGAACAGAAACAGACTCATAGATACAGAGAACTTTTGGTTTCCTGATGGGAGAGAGCTGGGGGGATGGCTGAAAAAGGTGAGAGAATTGAGAAGGACAAATTGGTTGTTAGAGTGATGAATCTCAAAGGGAAGGGGGAAGGGAGAGTGGAAAGAGATAAACCAAAGAACTTCTACGTATATATGCATAACCAATGGGCAAAGACAATAGTGTAGGGAAGAAAGAAGTGGGGCAGGAGTGAGGAGGAGGGGTTCAATAGGGAAAAAGGGGGGCATCTTTAATACATTCAACAATAAAGATAAAAAACTGAAATAAAAATAAAATGACATTAAAATGGGAAGTAAGTTACAAAGAATGTTGCTATTTGGTTTGCAACGTTATTTTAAGCACTACTGGAATACATTAAATTGACATTTTATTTTATTTTTAAAATTTTTCTGCTTTCTTTTTTTAATTAATTAATTTATTTTTGTTACAGATGTTTCTCCCCCCACCACTGACTCGCCCCTCCCCCTTCCTTTCTGCCCTGTCCCCAGCTT